ATTTACCCAAAAGGAAGATGACTTTTTTTTTTCCCATGTAGTTTAATTTTAAAACTGGATATCAACTTAAAGTTAGGGTCCTTGTTTTCTCAGGTTAATAAAGTAGGTAATTAATAGCATTTCATATAACTGGTGACTTGGCAGTGGCAGCTGGAGGCCAGATGAAATTTCCTAAGGTACTTAAAATGATATGAGACATTATATTTTAACAAATGAATCCCACCTGCAATAACCACTTTGCTGTGCAGACTCTTAGGTATTGGTCTTACATTGCTATTTCTTAGGAATTTCAGTTTGGCAAGATAAGCTGGACATGCTGCATCCTCTCCAGGAACTTATGTGGGACTGAGCTGCCTCCTCGACCATCACAACAGAGTCTCACTGCTTCCCTAGTGCAAGGTACCTCGGAGCACTCAAAGGCTCAGTAGCCTCCAGCTGTGTGTCTGGGGAAATCTATGGCCAAAAACGGAGTCCTTTATTGGTTTTAGTCTTCAAAACGAGCTCCAACACGTGCACCCACATATACACTCACATATTCCTTAAAAAGAAAGTCAGTTCTGAAGAAACTTTCCTCATGAAGTTAAAGTTGTGCAAAATGTGGGTGTTTTTGCAACTGTTTGGTGAAGCCTTCAATTTAAAGCAGACTCCCTCTGATTATTAAAATGTCCTTCTAAGAATTTTGGGTTTTGGCTGTTATTCTTGTGACTATCATTCTTGTGCAGTGCATTTAAAAAATGAAAACAAAACAGGATTTAGTGCTTCTAGCTCGGCAAAACTAAATGTTCGTTATATGATATGCTATAAAGTTACTTTCTATTGGGAAATTGCTTGCTAATTCCTTCTGCAGATCATATTATTGTGCAGATTCCCTTCTTTCAGTCAGCAGCTCTGTGCTGCTGAGCCTAACTTGCCATGTTAGCGCTGTCCTGAATGAGCCTGTGGGCAATTCCAGGATATAAATAATGCAGTGTAAATGTAGCAGCTTGTGCTGTGACAAGCGATTAAGATGATTTTGATCATTCCGCAGATATGTGGTAAAAGAGTAAGGCAGTTCCCTAGCACATGAGCTGCTGGTTTATGGCTGTAGTCTGTACATCAGGCATTATCCTATGGCCAAACACTAATTAGCTGAAGAACATTTGACTTGGCCACCAAGCAAACTAGGTTGGTTTCAAACATAAACCACCCCAGTGATTTCTTCTGCCCTTTTCCTAGGAGTTACCACCCCAAAAACAGAGGCAGAAGACTCCATAGCTGCTGCTTTGGTGGGAATTCAGTTCCATCAGTGATTTAAGCTGGGATGCCACAATATTTCTGCCTGGTGGACAGTCAGGAAGCCCAAGGAGAGCAGCAGGACCAAGAGCGGGGAACACTGTGGATTTAACCCACCTCAACAAGATATACCACAGCTTAACTGTCAAAGCTCTAATGTATCAGGGCTTTTTTTTTTTCATGATGGTAATAATAGATTACTAGAGATGAGCGGATTTAACCCACCTCAACAAGATATACTACAGCTTAACTGTCAAAGCCCTAATGTATCAGGGCTTTTTTTTTTCATGATGGTAGTAATAGATTAGTAGAGATGAGTAGCATGCTGACCTCTCTACAGATATGCTGTTGACTTATAGCGGTTACTCACCATCCTCATTACCAAAACAGATAGTCTATTGAGCGCAATGTAATCAGCAACTTAGATTGTCCTTGGTAGGAGATCTTCAACCAAAGAATGATTCCATTTTTTGGAAGATTGAATTACACAAATGATTTCATTTGATTGAAAAAAAAAATAGACCAAGGTTTAAAGAAACAATTTGGATTTAGTTTACTTAAAAAAACACACAAGCAAACAAACAATAAAACTCCAAAACAGAAATAAATATCCAGTTTTAAAGAAATCAGCAACCTACTGGGCATTTCAAGAAGTTAGCTCATTAGCTCAGGAGGGTTTTTTTGATAGCTCTTTTTTTTAATAAAAAAAAGAACACCCAAATCCTCTTACATGTAAATTAAAAGCATGATTATTTTTCCTGCAGCTTTATTAAACATTGCTTTGGAATGTACATGAAGATCTGTAGGGGTAGGGAAGTGTTCTCTCTTCACAATGCGGGCTATCTCAGCAGTATTTGGAGAGCCTTTATTCTGATGCCTTTGTCAGAGTGCCTGAATACATGGAAATGAATTTCTTATCTAGCAAAGCTCCTACGGATTAGGATTTTTATGGGTTTATAATATTGCTATTTATTTTTTTCTATCTAGTTATGAGTATGTTTCAGGGTTTTTCTGTCTTGTTTTGTTAAAGCCGTTTTTACTTAATTGCTAATTCTGGAATATTTCTGTTTAACACAGCATTCCACAATGCAAAATTCAGCTGCTTCTCAAGTTAGTTTTCACAATCCCTCCTCTGTAATCATCCTTTGTCCTTTTCATCCTCCAATAATGTAGATCCAGCTCCTGGTTTCTCTCCTCTACATCCATCCTCAACCTTTTCTTTTCCCTCATCCATTGCAGGTGTAGGACAAATCTGACTTATCACTGAACCCCAGCTTTGCTGGCTCTGTGATCAAAGTTGGCTTACCTGGATCCTCTTTTCCAGATGACACATATGTGTTCCCCATGTCCCATTTCATTCATGCCAGAACAGCATCTCTGGCATCCTTAAGGAGGATGCAGAGTGCTGTCCTGTTCAGCATCCCTGTGAAAGCTCTCTCCTTTGGGAGTAACTGCATAGGCTGGGAATTAGTCTTATAACCCCGTTCTAGCTAGCACACACAGAAGCAGGGAGCTTCTGTGGAAGAAGAGCAGCACTGTCACTGCCTCCATTTCTCACATCAACAAACCAGCCCAGGGCTCATTGCAGTGCAGCTTTTCTGAGGGTACATTTTGAATGCAATGTGTGCATGTGTGGTTCTTGAGGCAACTCATTTCATAGAATTAGGAATAGAAAGCAAAGCATTGCAGATTAATCAAATTATCTATTCAAATGAAAACAATAATTATTCAAATTTGACTTCAGACTTTGAAATTAAGTCTTTGAAACATCATTTTTGGCCTTTAGGCTATAAGGAGTAAACCAGTCTCTAACAACTGAGAAAAGAGAAAAGACTAGAGAGTTTGGTCTATCACTAACCAAGAGTTATTTATCAAAAAAAAGATGATTAACCTAGCTATTAAACTGCCCTTGAAGAGTACCTCTTCTTTATTGATGACCTTGGTAGCTCAGCATCAACCAGGCACTGATACTAACTTAAAATCCAAGCCAATTATTTAAATTCACTACCAATATATGTGGAAAAGAGCCGTGTAGTTGCTGAGTTGTCTGGTGAAAATCACTACAGCAAATTTCTCTATAATGTGTTAATTAATGTGTTAACATAGCATTCTAACACACCAGTGAGAACAGCACTCCAGTCAAGTCTAGGCATGCATTAATATGTGCCCAGCATACGCCTGATCCAAAAAATATTGTAGGAATACAGAGCATCACAGAATTAATTTATGTATGTCCCCTGTTCATGGTTCTTATATCCAACTGGAAGAGAAAGTTGTCAGATGAAATCTTTCACAGGAGTCCCGTTACTGACTTCATTGGCAAAATGATTGCAGTTATGCAAATATCTGATTCATGAGTCAAGATTCAGATAGCAAAGGTGGTCTCAAAGATTCTGGTCTCGCTCTGGGGGAAGGAAAGGAGGGAGGGAGGGAGCGAGGGAGGGAGAGAGGAAGGAAGGAAGGAAGGAAGGAAGGAAGGAAGGAAGGAAGGGAGGAAGGGAGGAAGGGAGGGAAAGAAGGAAGGGAGGGAGGAAGGGTCTTTCCTTAGAATTGGGAATCTTATTATCTTAGAATTGGGAATCTGGGGCACTTTTCCTAATAGTTGACTCTACATTACTGCTCTCAATTGTACTTTTTCCTTCCTCCCTTTTTTTTTCTTCTAAGTAGAAAAAAAAAATCATATGAACTTTGTTTATGCCTCAGTGGAAGGAAAAATTATTATTAATAGCACAGAAGATAATAGAGTTCAGAATAACAAAGTAAAGCTTCTAGAGGACGTTACATAACCTGTAGAGGCTGCCAGTAACACCATCAGCAGCAGTGACAGAGATGAGTGCGGTCATTGGCACTGAGAATTTTTGGTCCTATGCCAGAGCAAATACACTTCAACACACCAGGGCAGTCGTGTAAGGAAGGGTAACCTGGAGCATTTCTTCTAAAAGATTTTTTTTTCATCTGCAAATCCTCCCAAGGAGCATTTTGGAGATGGAGAGAAAACTCCTTGCTTTAGGAACCTGACAGAAATATCAGTGTAAAATTAAAAAAAAAATAATGCATTCAGTTTGTGTTTAACCCTAGTAAACTATTTTTGCCCAGTGTTTTTTACAGTAGGATTACTAGCAGGTTACCAGGAATCATGTACACTCAGATATTGTAAGGATTTCTAATGTTAATCATAACATGTTGTTTGCCAAGAATGAGAAGCTGTTCCCATCTGGAAGCTGGAGTTTCATCTGTGGATGGCCTTGATGCTCAGTGTCTCCTGCTCCTTCACAGAGGTTACTGATGCTACTCTTCCTCCAGCAACACAAGACTCTGAGTGCTTACAGGCTGGGGAATGAGGACACAAGTCCTTCTAGCTAAATCAGGACCTGGATGTGCTCACAAATGCCATCCATATTACTTAATGCTTAGCTCCTCATGTTGCTTCTTTTGGATCACCTGATGAGCTCTCTGCAGGAAGCTCTACCGATGTGGGAGTGAGCCTAGCTTGGCCACATCCCTAACTCTCATTTAGGATGTAGACAACACCAGTTACCCCAGTATGTGAGTAGTCAAAACCATACTCTTTAAACTTCAGTAGGCCATGAGCATGCCAGACTTCCTAGATAGACGACTGCACTGGGGGGAATAAATTGCTCCACCAAGTCTGCCCTCCTTGCCTTTCTCCACTTTTCTGGAGATAGGAGAGAGTCTAATGTAGCTGTGATGCTCTCACATTGACTTACCCAATTCAAACTGGTTCGAAAGGTTATCACAGGTTTGTCTTACTTCTTCACTGTCCCAGCCAAGAGGATAGAGAGCACAACCAGAGCCAATCAACAAACCTATGGAGAGAAAAAAATACAGGAGTTTACACAAGCAACTGCCAATAGCTTAAACAAGGGCTATTAGTCAAGCTGCCATATCTCAGCAAACCTCAGGGAATCTCAGCAAAAAAATCTCTTCTTGTCCCTAGAAGAACAGCAAGTCATTTTGATCCCTACTACTGCATGGTATTTTCAGAGGATGGTTGGACTGCAGTGTAGAGCTGAGCTGCCTACAGGGCTAGTTACCTGCTTGCAGCTGGCCTAAGTGCTGGAAGAAGCCTCATGCTTTTAAATTGCCATTTTATTGCCAATATGTAGTGCAGAACCACTACATATTCTGTCTGGAAAACTGAATACAGGGTTAAATAGCAGCTGTGCTAATCACAGCATTTATAAGCTGATTGCTTCTGATTAATTAAAACAACAATCAACCAGGGTCTGTTATGGTTCCAGCAGGAGAAAGTAAACCAACAGTTGTACTAATTGCTTGCCATTTTTCTTTATTTTTCCACACCTTCAAAAGCCAAGGAAGAGAGATTTCATGTCACCTGATCCATTCATACCTCATGTTGCACAACGTTTTCAAACAATTTCAGCAAAAAACAACTGACCTCTTTAAAATCTGTAGCAGAAAAAAACTACCAGCTACACTTGCTTTTTCGCAGCTGCTGCAATAACAGCTGAGAATGCAATATGATAAAAATGTCACTTCTGCAAAATAATCATGGGGTGATCCCCAGCAAGATATTGTGAAGGGAAAGACTTAGCTAAGACACATTTGGTCTGGACAGCATGAGGATTGGAGAATGGAAAGCATGTTGTGAATGCCAAGCACAATAATAGGTGTAATTTTTTAAAGGATATTATAGAGAACAGTAAAATACATGCTACATTCTTTAAATGTTATCTCCTTTTTGGGGGACTTTTTTATAAGACTGAAAAATGAATCACTACATAGGTAACAGGTTGGGTGTGCCTGGCACTTTGCAGACTGAAAGGGCAGACCTCAAAAGCTTGTAATATGGTTTTGCAATGGTACCTTTTACCTATTAGATACAGCACAGGACTGGGACAGGTTTTCAAGATCTGCAGCTGCCCAAGCTGTTCCTTGACTTCACAACACCTCATATCGCTCTTGCAATGAGAATAAAGGTAATGTCATCTGGACATTGCTGCAATTCTTCCAGTGAAGAAAAGCACTGGGTATGGTGACAAAGGCACCATGGAAGTTACACAAGCCCCAAGTGGGATTTCTGATTCGGTCCTGAGGCTGTGTATTTTTACATCTCCATCCCCATGAAACCTAAGCTTCACACATAAATGATGAACTTGTAAAGTACAGAAATCACTCTGTAATTTTTCTGATATGCTTAAAGACACATCTGAACCAGGCTCTGAAATCCAGAAGTGGAAGTGCATCTTTCCGCAAAAGATATTGGCTGCTCTTAGCTCAGCAGTTCCTTTGCTGCTGTTCCAAGCACATCTGTCCCTGTTCATGGTCAAATATTTGCCCCTTAGACCTGACTCCACTAAGTTCAAATTCCTTCTTGCTACTAAATTCTACTTCTTCCTTTTCTGGTTGGGCAATCCCTGCCTACTCCTCTCTTCATATCTATGTTGCTTAATGGAAAAGAAATCCCTGAGACAACCTCCTCTCAGATGGCATATTCTCCCAACAGCTACAAAGGGATAAAAGCAATTAAGGATACATGAATGCTAGATAGTTTTAGTACTTTACATGACCTGGATATGCTTGCTTCTAATGTCTTTGCTAACTGCTTTCACAGTACCTTCTGATTTCCCCGCCCAGGGCTGCAGAGCTAATAGAAGCAGGTAGAATCCATGTAAATGAGAGCTGCTTCTAATTAAATTCTCAGAAAGATGTTTCTCATGCAAGGGAAATTAGGGCAAAACTGGGTCTATGGTTGTTAAAGGCTCTCAAAAATGGCTGAATTTCTTATGAACTGTTAAAAGGACATCGTAAAGCATTAATAGCACTGTCTCCCAAAGCACTAGAACAGCACAACCCTATGGGGCAATGAAGAACTCCACTTTTGGAAACGTGAATAGCGGTGGAAGGGAGAACCTGCAGCCCCTGCCAAAAAAATGAACCAGTCTGGCTGGGCTGGCTTCAATGCACTTGGATCTCTGAAGAGACTTCCTGGGAGATTTCAAAATGAGGGGGCAGGAAGAGGTGTGCAGGGGTCTGGAGGAATGCAGGCCTTACACTGACTATATTGGATCCGCTGAAAGAGCAGCAAGCCCTTAATCACAGATCAGTCCTGGGAAACCTCCTGTCCAGTTCTTCCAGGAGAGCACAAAAGCACCATTGCAAGCAAGGAAAGGGACAGTTCTCATCACGATGCTGCCCATCCCTCAGAAATGCAGCACAAATTCCTCCTCAGCACTTGCCAAATGCCCTTCTCAGACAGCAAGGGTCTAGAGCACACTGCATGCACACAGCACTGCTTGTTTGTAGCTCCCACTAGAGCTTTTGTAGTAACAGGTTGGGTTTGTTGTTGTTTCCCTCCACACATCCCCAAAATATTGCCTAGATAATTTCCCACCCCTTTAGAGCTTGTCCTTTCCAGAAGGTTTTGTACTCACGCTTTCAGCCGCTGATGGTACGCTGGATAAAGTGGCTATAAACATTAGCAATTTCCCTCCTCCTTTCCTTAGCCAGATTTCTCCACCTCCATATCCCACCCTCTTCCCATTTCTGTCAGTTCATCTCTGTAAGTCCAAAAGTCCAATTTCAATGAAAATAAATGGTGTAGGGGTCAGCCTACCTCATTTACTTGGTGTTTTCAAAATACTCCACAAAGTGGAGTGCCTTGGTGTGGATGAAACCTCTAATATTAGTCTAAATTGTACTTATCTGTGATGAGTAAAAATAATAATTATTAAAAATAATCCCAAATATTTTTGAATTTCTTTCACAGAACCAGGAAACTCGAATGGGCCCCACAGAGCCAACACTTGCTAACAGAAGGCTTGCTTATACAAAGAAATGATGTCTAGTCCTAGTCTCTGATGAACTGAGGTAAATCTAGAAAAATTAAATTAGGGAATGTGTAAGAGATTTCTGAGAGTGTAAAATCAAGGCCTGTCTTGCACAAAAAGCCCAGTGATGCATTCAAAACACATAAGCAATCCAACAGTGTAGTGTTAAATTGCTCCAAAGGACCTGTTACCTCACTCACACATGGGTGCTTGCCGTTAAAGCCAGTCAATCCTACCTAATAACCAGATCACATCACCTACCTCTGAGCCTTACCATGCCTTCCAGAAATGAATACACTCAATAAGGGCAAAATAGTGTGTTATGACAGGAAAAGTTTGCAGCCTCAAAAGAGCTGGCTCTCCAGTCGACTATGAATTTTAACAGTGCTGAGTTTCTTTGTGAAGCACAAGCCACCATCTGCATTTTCTGTTCTTCTCACAGCTCTCACTGACTGCAAAAATGAGATCAAGTGGGAAACTACCACCTAACTTCAGCCATCCATGGCCCCTTTTTGGAGAGCCAATTTCTTACTAATCTGGAGCAGTCAGGGGCAGGATGCTTTTCATATTTTCCAAGAGTTTCTGACAGATCAAAACAGGATTAGTACTGCTTGGACATCAAGCTTGTGAAGTGACCCTGAAGCGCAAGCAGCAGCATGCTCATGTGCGAAGAACAAGGCAGAAAGCCACAAAACAGCTTCCTGCAGAGCTCACAGGCTCCGTTTAGTGAATACAAAACCCACCAGAGATCAAGGGACAGCCAGGAGCACAGCGCTGTGGTGCCATTGGGCAAAATGGCTCTTACAAATGCTGACTAATTTTGTGGCAGGTACCATATGAATACAACTCCTAAAGCTATTGTTTTGGCATCTCTTTTGACATCACTAGATTTCAGCAGGTTTTGATTCACCTTCGAATATTTCCCTGTGGTGGTGTACATACACCTGTCATGGATTTAGGTCTGTTGGTGAAATGGTAGTTTTCTCATGTAGTTCTTGCATGCAGGTTGCAGGCTAAACTCAAAGAACTGGCTTCAGTGTAAGACTTGCAAGAAGACACAAAGCACATTAGTCAATAGAGAGATTCCCTTTTTCAAATTTCACAAGTTCTGGTTAATGCTGAGGCATGTGTATATCTATAAATAAATATATAGATATGTATGAGCATGTGTGTGCCTGTATGCATAATGGTGTTGATCCACACAACAGAGCTGGGTAGGGGCAAGGTCTAAATGAGCAGTGAGGATGGTATATGGGACACCATGAACTGGCTTTAGAGATATTGTATATTATCAGCCAGACTGTGCCTTCCCGGTGTCATTAGGTCTGACACAAAAGCCCTTCATCCCCTTCCTTCCTCCTGATCAATCCATCTTCATGTAAGCAACAATATGTGGGTATCACAGCCTGGGAAAGCAAAATGTCTACATAGTATAATCTCTAATAATTCATATACATACCTGTAGCCAATTTGTCTTATCAGAGATTGCAGATCCTGCAGAACAACTGCAACCTCCATGTAAAGATCTGAGTTAAATACAAACGCTGCAAGCCCAGTGGAAAAGCTTAAGCCAATTTTGCAGTTTCACTTGAGAGCAGCTACTGGTTTAGTTCAAGAGTGCACATCCTGACCTGCCCTATAGTTGCTGCATTTAGCCAGCTAAACTACGCAGGACACCACACCCATCTTTACAGCTGCTTAAAATGCTTAGGATGCCAGTAACATTCTTCAAAAGAAAGCAGAAAAAAGAACACCAAACCACCCTGCTGTAATTACCATCATCTGTCATCCTCCATTATCCACTACAGTCATTCAAAAAAATAAAAAAGAGAAGGGTATGTGCAGCAAGATGTCCATAAACAGCAGCTTCATGAAAGGAGCTGCAGCTTGGAGATGTGGAGGAGTCAGTAGGATGGAGCTAGCTGGCAATGGAGGCACTTGACTTTCTTTTGGATGACATACTGTATGCCAGTGGAGATGTTGGCACTGTCAGCGAATGGCTCTTCTGGAGCAAT